GGCCTGCCGTACCACCCTCTCCCGCTAGTTGGAAACAACTTTTACACACATTTCCACACTCCTCTCTTTTTTTTCTTGTTTTTGTTCCCCATTTTTAACCCCATTTTCAATGTTTTTACACACATAATCTTTTCCCACACAACCATTTTCTGCAATCTTACACACCACACATTTACTCAGTTCTTACCATACAGTCACGCATTGAGTTTTGTCTCTGGCTGCCCGGTGGAGCGCTTGTCGCAGCTGCTAGCTGCTCCTGGAATCTAGATTCTCTTTTACTGCACGAGACGTCTCTCGTGAGGTTCCTTGCCTTCTACGGGCCAAGGAACAAACACCGCCACCCCCAGTCTCCTTTGAAGAAGTTAGGATCTTTTAGAAGACGCTAGGGATGTCACTCTGTGATTCTACACGAAGACTCCTTCGGAGCTCTTGCCCTGGAAGGTCGTAATACATTCATCTTCTTGAGCTCCCCGAAGGCCGCAATACACTCACCTCCTTGGCCAGACACAAAGCCCTCGTGACTTGTTACAAGTTAGCTACAACTCACCCATCTGCAGGAGTGCCCTCAAAGTTGATGGTCTCAGTGGTGACCGAAACACACGGCTCCGTGACTCCTCCATTTCCTTTGCCTCAACAGCTGGTAGGACAAATGTACCTTTTTCCTCAGGGGTGATCAGCCCGTCCACGGAACCGTTGTTGAGCGACCACATGGACCATCCTGTTCGTGACGCCATTTTGTTGTGGAAGGTTTCCATTTAAATAAAGCCTGCAGATGAGCAGTGAGCGGTAGCTAACATTCTTTAATGAAAACACACAAAGAACAGACAACCAAGGGGCAGATGGTCAGCAGAGTCTCCCTGAGCCTAGCATGGCTCTCAGTTAAACACCTTCTTCAGGAACAAAACACACAGCTGTTTCACACCTTAAGGTTCACACTCCCTTGCTACCTCCCAGAGTCCTCGAAGAGACAAAAGTTTCTTCCTGTGGAGTGGTCTGCTTCCCCAAACTTCCTTACTAGACCCCCACCATTTGTCTTACTGTATGAGTGTAAAACTTGTTAAAATACAGTGGCACCAAGGCATTATACAATAAAATAATGTGATTAATACATAAGTAAAAGAAATTCCTATACAAGACCCAGATAAAATATCAAGGGAGCAAGAGGATGATCTAATTGAACTGACCAGCTTCAACAACTCAGGTAAAAACACTGGTGAAAATCTTTCAAATATGACAGGCTTAAGTAAAATCGGAACAGGCAAATGGTACATGGAGGGAGAGATGTTGCTCCTTACATTGCTAACCTTTTCAAGAAAGAAGGAAAGAAAATTTTCAGTCTTCAGTCAAAGAAATAAGGACAGCAGCAGCAGCCGGGGCAACAATTTCCCTAATTGTGTCAAATAGAACCATAGGGTTACCTCTGCTCCTAGAGACTAGGTGGGAAAAATAAGCAGCCCTTGCATCACGAATTGAAGCGTTAAAAGAAACTAAAAGGTCTTTTAAATCAAAGAGATGAACCTGTAGACTAGTCTTTCTCCACAAACGCTCAGCTTTACAACAGACACACTTTAAACAGCGAATGCTGTCATTTATCCAGGGCGAGGGTTTTGTAACAAGGTCTAGTCTAGTTTTAATAGGACAAATATTATCGATAATAGAAAGACAGTAATTATTAAAAAGATTTGTTAATAAATCAACATCATTAGAAGCAGGCAGAACCACATTAAAAACATCAGAAAATTTAGCAGCAGTAGATGAATCTAAGACGCGTGAGCTAAAAGCACGACGCTCAGGAGGAGGAGGCAAATAAAAAGACAAATTAAATATAATCCCCTGATGGTCTGAAATAAAAATATCCTCAGAACTAATAAAGTTGATGGTTAAGCCAATAGTAAAAACAAGGTCCAGAGTGTGTCCTTTGGTGTGGGTGGGGCCAGATACATGCTGTGTAAAATGAAAAGAGTCCACGATGCTAAGAAAATCTCTGGCAAAGAGGTCAGAGTCATCATCAATGTGCATGCTAAAATCACCAATTATTAGCAATCTGGACAACTTCAAGATGGAAGATAAAAAGTCACTGAATTTCTTTAAAAATTGACTGTTAGGTCCAGGTGGACGATAGAGTACAGCACAGTAACACGGATCTTTAATTCCAATTTTAACCAGCTGTAGTTCAAACATTAACATTTTTTCAACCATCAATGAGCGACAGTGAAACCAATTTCGATACACCACAGCCAGTCCTCCGCCACGACTAGAAGTCCGCGGCAGACTGATGAAGGAGTACCCGCCCAGGCAAAGTTCGATAAGGGAAGAATAGTCACCATCACGCTTCCAGGTTTCAGTTAAAAATAATGAGTCCATTTTTTTTGGAAAGAATAAGATCGTTCAATAAGAACGTCTTATTTGTCATAGATCGGGCATTGAGAAGCGCCATGCTCAACGAGGAATAACTCAAACTATTACCGACACTGACCCGCTTTAGGGGGCGTAGAAACTGGGGGTTTGATCTGTAATGATCATAGATACCGCTCGCTGTTGGGGCAGCGGGCCAAATAATAGGAGAGTCTGGATGAACACTCCTAAGGAAACACGATCTCATAAGTCCAGGCTTTGCAAAATACAGCAGGGACGGGAGAAACAAATTCTCCTCCGAACAGGCAGTCTGAGCACAGGTAACCAGAAATGCTCAGTGTCGCTTACCCGCTAATCCTCATCTGATGAGGAGTCTATATTTCACCTGGACACCTGCTCTTTTACCTCTCCTCCTCCGAGATTTGCGTGGACCCAAAAGGGTGCTGTTGGCGACATCTGTCAAATATCCAGACACCGGCGGCGGAGGAGGGAAGAAGCCTTTGTATGAAGGAGCAATATCCAGGCCCAGCATAGAGGAGCAAATAGACAGTAGTGTCAGACGATCATAGATTAGGGCAGGCAATACATCAGAGACAAGGAAGGAGAGCAGGACAGTCAAAAACAGCAGCATAACAGAGCGAGGGAAACTGCAACCAGCAGCGGCAAGGCCGAACACATGCGCCATCATACCGGAAGTAGAACCAGGCTCGGGGAGGGGTGGCCATCTGCTGCGACCGGTTGGGGTGGGAGAAGGAAAACAGGATAACGACATGCTTTTGAAGAGAGACAGATTAATAGCAAGTATGATTCAATGCAGAGAGATGACTGAAAAGGAAAAACGCAATGGACTCATTCCCCAGCCGGAAGGCACAGGGATCAAAATATCTCATCCTATGCGTAGAAGCCTCAACACATAGGAAGCATGCTGCGGGGATACTAGGGTATGCACCCCAGCCTGCCACCACTCACCAAGGGCAAGGCAAGGCAAGGCAAGGCAAGTTTATTTGTATAGCACAATTCAACAACAAGGTGATTCAAAGTGCTTTACAGAGACATTAGAAACAAGAACAAATAAAAAGCATGATTTAAAATTGATTAAAACAAGCAAATAAACTAACTAACTAATTAGCAAACAAACAAACAAACAAAACAGTATATAAAATCAAAACAGATAAAATCAGAACAGTAGATAAAATCAGTAGTTAAATGTAAGTTTTGAAATTTAAGCTTAAAAGTGTGGATTTGGTGTTTTATTCAAATGCAGCTGAGAACAGGTGAGTCTTCAACCTGGATTTAAATAAACTGAGTGTTTCAGCTGATCTGAGGCTTTCTGGGAGTTTGTTCCAGATATAAGGAGCATAAAAGCTGAATGCAGCTTCTCCGTGTCTGGTTCTGACTCTGGGAACTGATAAAAGACCGGATCCAGATGACCTGAGGGATCTGGAAGGTTCATACTGGGTCAGGAGGTCATTGATGTATTTTGGTCCTAAACCATTCAGAGCTTTATAAACCAGCATCAGAACTTTAAAGTCTATCCTCTGACGGACAGGCAGCCAGTGTAAAGACCTCAGAGCTGGACTGATGTGGTCCACTTTTTTGGTCTTAGTGAGGACTCGAGCAGCAGAGTTCTGAATGAGCTGTAGTTGTCTGACTGATTTTTTAGGTAGACCTGTAAAGATGCTGTTACAGTAATCAAGCCTACTAAAGATGAATGCATGGACTAGTTTTTCCAGGTCCGGTTGAGACATCAGATCTTTTATCCTTGAAATATTCTTGAGGTGATAGTAAGCTGACTTTGTTATTGTCTTAATGTGTTTTTCTAAGTTTAGGTCTGCATCCATCACTACACCCAAATTTCTCGCCTGGTTTGTGGTTTTTAGATGTATAGATTGAAGTTCTTTGGTGACCTGTAATCGTTTTTCTTTGGCGCCAAAGACTATTACCTCAGTTTTGTTTTTGTTTAGCTGGAGAAAATTGTGGCACAACCAGTCATTGATTTCCTCAATGCATTTACCAAGAGCCTGTACAGGGCCTCGGTCTCCTGGTGACATTGTGATATATATTTGTGTGTCATCTGCATAGCTGTGATAGTTTATTTTGTTGTTGTTTAGAACAACAGGGCAACAACAGGGCAACTCCAGACTGAGACAGAGTCCAGCGCCTCTCCAATTGACTGGTTCTAGAGCCCAAGCCATATGTTGAGGTGAGCACGACTATGTCTAGCCAGTACATCTCGACCTCACGCACTAATTAAGGCTCCTTCCCTAACAGAGACATTTCATGTCCCAATTTCTAGTCTTGGTAGCGAGGGATTGGTCTGTAAGGGGCCTCCACTCATAGCTGCCACGTGGCACAGATTGCACCCAACCCTAAAGGTGCCTCCTGCGGGGGCATTGAGTTTCCCCACACATGTTTACAGACAGGTTAGAGAGCAAGAGAAAAAGAGACTGATTCATAAATGTCTTTGTTTCTGCTCTAACCAAACAATGCTGCTGTACAACTCTAGGCTACCAGCCACAAAGACAACAGCTGGAGAAACATCTGTCTACCTCTGACATCCACCAGCTCATCCATACAACAAATAAACATCAACAACCAGGAAGCAGCTTCACCTCTGATCACGACACTCAACTCTACTCACTCACCTTGAGGATCAACAACACTCAGAGAAATGCTGTTGATGAGCTGCCAACAGACCGTTTCTCTAATGAAGATATGACACTCATATCTTCCAGCATCATTAATCGTCACATCCTTCAGAATCAAAGACACGTCTCCATCCTTCATCTGTTCGTCCCGCAGATCAGACCGGTTCTTAAAAGATGGATGCCGGTAATCTGGAACGAAATGACCATCCCAGTACAAGAATACATCGCCTGCTTTCAAGTCATCTCTCCTCCATTGTACACCTCTGATCTTGTTGTTTGGAGCTCGACATGTCAGAGTGACGTCCTGTCCAGACTCAGCTGTGATGAATTTATAGTCTGAAAGAGGAAACGACACAGAGCAGAGAGGTTAAAGGTCAAAGTGCAATTATAATCAGAATGATTATATTTAAATATTTTGTTTATTTGCTTTGACTTTTGAGTTTTAATAGTGCTGTCAAAATTAAAGTAAATTAATTCGCCATCAAGTTCAACGCAGTTAAAAATTTTAATGCAATTAACCCATCTGGAGTGGAGAATGACTCAAAATCCCTGAAATGTTTCTGTCAGCGGATTTCGGGCAGTTTGTCCTAGTAGAGTTACCTTTACACAAATGGACAGTTGATCTGGTTGTAACGGGCAGCTAAACCAGTCAACTTAGTATGGAAGATGATAAACACATATTGGCCCTCACGATGGAAAACTTGAGTTGTAAAAAAATAACAAGACGGAACAGTCGACCGACATAAAGTATTATGCACATTGTGCAAGAAGGTGTTTTCTTTTCATCAAAGCACTTCCAGCTGAAAATATCACATTGACTCGAAGAATATGTTAGTCGTGGATGCTGCTGGAAGTTTGGCTAATGCGTCACCCAGCGACAAATCACTCATGGAGCATCTGGGACTCAGTAAATCTACCTAAATCTAATATTGACTAACACAATGCCAGGTAGATTGCAACAAACTGCAGACCTATTAATATCGTTGAGAACACGCGCTTTACATGGCTTTGGTTCCTCATTTGACAGCACTAATATATATTATATATTAGTGTATACTTACCTATTAGTATATAGATTTTTTTTAAAAAGTTGTAATTCACAGGAGAGAACCCGGGCTAAAAGATTGAAGAAAAATATTCAAATTCTATTTGAATTTAAGCATTTAACATTCGTTGTGTTTATTCTCTATTTACTTCATTATATTGCATACATGTTAGTTACAAGCTTAAATATAAAGTTGAAAAAATGTAATTGCAACCAGGCTATTGATCAAGTAATTGTGATTAATTACAGAAAATCATGAGATTATTTAGTATTTCTTTTTATTTTTTTATCTAGTGACAGCACTAGTCTTTAGTCATGTTGGATTTAATGAACCTCTGAACATCCAGCAGCTATTTTAATGTTTTGAAGTGGAGTTTTCATATTTGAACATGTTCTGTTGTCTCTTTCTCTTTAATCTCTCTCACACTCCTATCACACTGGTGTGTGTGACTGCAACAGCATCTGCACATGTACAGCTGTCGGCTGCTCCTCATACACTCAGCTTCAGTCTAACCTGATGTGACTCGAAGTTTATTCCTGCCATGTGATTGGTTCAGAGTGATGCTATTTTCATTGTTATTGAACTTTTATGTTACCTGTCAAAACAAGGAGGGAATAAATTCTATTGACTTTCTATTGAGTATGTTTCATGTTTCTACTGAGGAAAAGTTATTTTGCAATAATGATCTTTATCATTTCATCGCCCAGTTCTAGATTACAGTGAGAGACATTGAGCTCACACAAACTCCATCTACCCTGATGATGCCTTCACACACACAGACAAACTGAATCAATATGAAAATTATTCTTCTGAACTTCTGGTTTCTAACAGCTTAATCTGACCTGGAAAGTGGAGCAGACTGACACAGTTACTGCAGACGTGTGTGTGTTATTATTACTGCTGATCTACATTATTATAAATGTGTGAGTCTGTAAATCTCAGTGACTAACAGAGAACCTGAGTCTAAATGTGATGAGATGAAGTGTGAGGTTGTGAGAAAGTGTCTGACTGCATTCATAGATGTGTCCTTTCAGCTGCTCGCTCTGATCCAACCTTTGGTCTCTAAGAAGAGGCTTCAGGGAGATGTTTGCTA